CCTCTGCCTCCCAAGTGCTGGGATTAAAGGCGTGCATCACCACTGCCCGGCCTGAGCTTTTCTTTAATGTAGGTCCTGGGGATAGAACTTAGGTCCTCAGGCTTGTATGCCAAGGACTTTATCAGCTGAGTCATGTCCCCAGTCTTGTAGCACTTCTAAAGACAATCTCATGTAGGCCAGGCTATCCTCATCCTCAAGCTGACGCTGGCCTTGAACTCCTGATTCTTCACCTGCCAAGCCCTGGGATCACAGGGTTGTTTTTTTTTTTTTAAAGGTGTATTTATTTTATGTATGGGTACACTGTAGGGTATCTTCAGACACACCATTAGAGGGCATCAGATCCCATGACAGATGACTGTGAGCCACCATGGGATTGCTGGGAATTGAACTCAGGAAGAGCAGTCAGTGTTCCTAACCGTTGAGCCACCCATCCCTCCATCCCCATGTTTACTGTTTTGTGTGAGGTTATTAGTAGGCGTGAGGCAGGGAGATACAGACAGGGAAGATGGAAGACAGGAAAGGAAGAACGGGGCTGGTGCAAAGGCCCTGGAATGGAAGCGGTTGGGTGGTTCAGAAGTGGGGAGAGGCCCAGTGCCTGGGGCTGGGCAATGGGCGGTAGGTAGAACAGGTTTCCTGCACTTTCGTGCCCACGGCTGCTCCACCACCCTGCTGAAACTCAGTCATCCCCAGAAAGTGAAAGACTAAGGGAGAGCGAGCCTCCTGGGCCCTCCCCACCCCCACCCCACAAGCAACAGAAAGAAACCACTTCTTCTTTTTAGTGTATTTAAGGCTCAGCACAGGCCATAGGGAGAAGTGGCCCTGTCACGGCCCAGCCATGGGGGACACCTTTATTCGTCATATCGCCCTCCTGGGCTTCGAGAAGCGCTTCGTCCCCAGCCAACACTATGTGAGTAGCCTTAGAGTGTCCTGCAGGAGCGCATAGTGGGGACAGTGCTGTCACCCTGGTGCTACCCAAAAACCAACCACCTGGACCAGGAGAAGGATATCGGAGAAGGGGGACCAGGGGAGGCTATGAGGGGGATGGGGACCAGGAGAAGGATATCGGAGAAGGGGGACCAGGGGAGGCTATGAGGGGGACAGGGACCAGGGGAAGATGTACCTCCGTGGGGACTTCTCAGGCACCGGGCTCGTTGTTATCCTTGGGCTTCAGGCTTCTCTTTGGTGTCTGCAAAGGACTCTGCCATGGTGGGCAGACACCCCTGCACACCATCCCAGCTGCCTCCCTCTCTGTCTTCACACTGAGCCCCCATCCATGCCCGAGAGCCACCACCCTTTGTCCAGTGCCTAGGACCAAGGCTCACTCCTCTCAGGGAACCTCCCTGTCTAGTCAGCTGCGGGAGAGGCGGCGAGGCCTGTAGACTGTGGCTTTTTGTCTCTCTTTCTCTACAATGTTGGTTACATTTGAGTTTAGATCCCTAGGAGGTGACATCACCAGAAGGGCCGAAGCCTCCGGTTTGTCCTGGGGAGATAAGGTAGAGAAATATCTGCCCATGTATCTAGACTCTATCACTGGGTCTGCAAGGCCAAAGGCAGGCCAGAGATGACGACACCTAGTACTTGTGAGGTGTTTACCTGGGATGCTTAGAATGAGCCAAGTTTTTCTCTCCCTCTCTCTCTCTCCTCCCCATCTCCCTCCCTCTCTAAATATAAATATTCTGAGTCATTCCACAATAAGTGAGTGACTTTGTAAACCAAAGCCACACCAGAAGAGGGGACAGCAGTCGGTCACCCTGGGTGTTTCCTTCATGTCCTCCATCTCTCCCCTGGAGACAATCACAGGGTTTTTTTAGACAGAGTCTCACAAAACCCCAAAGATTGCCTCACCGCCACCCCTCAGCCTTTCATCCAAGGCTGAAAGGCAGCCAGGGACACAGACTGGCCCTCGCGGGCGCTGAGTGGCCCTCTCGGCTCTAACGCCCCTCAGGTGTACATGTTCCTGGTTAAGTGGCAGGACCTGTCGGAGAAGGTGGTCTACAGGAAATTCACCGAGATCTATGAGTTCCATGTGAGTATTGGGGGAGGGGTGGGTTCTACCTGTAGCTTTGCCTTCGTGGACCTCAAGCTCAGCTTGTATCTGAAGAGGTTAGCCTGGGCTATGTAGTGACTTCCCGGGCTACACAGTGAGACCCTGTCTCAAAATAAATAAATGAATGAGACAGGGACAGACAGACAGACAACACATACACACACACACACACACACACACACACACACACACAGAGGGTCGAGGAGGAGAGAGAATTTCAATGGGACATGTGTGGACCCAATGGCTTCCCCTCCCGGTGAGTGTTATGAACTGTTCTGTCTTAGATCTTTCAGAGTATCCTCTTTTTCTTTCTTGTGTATCTAAGACTGGCCTCAAACTCACTACACAACGAGGATGCCTTAGAACTTCTGATCCTCCTGCCTCACTTCCTGAGCGTGTGCCTCTCCCCCACCCCATTTATGCACTGCTCAGGGTGGAACCCGAGGCTTCATGCATGCTAGGCTAGCCCAGGCTTCATGCTTGCCCTCTGCCACAAAGCCCAGCCCAGGTTTTCTTCTATCCAGAAAATGCTCAAGGAGATGTTCCCCATTGAGGCTGGCGAGATCCACACCGAGAACAGAGTCATCCCGCACCTCCCGGGTAAGAGCATAGCCTGAGCCCCTCAGCAGGGTCCCCTGCCCCGGGGGCCCCTCCTCTGCTTTCCCTTCCCACACGCTTTTGGACTTGCGTGAGTGTGCTCGTGGGTCTCTGGTTTCCCCTACCCAGCACCCAGGTGGTTCGATGGGCAGCGTGCCGCCGAGAGCCGCCAGGGCACACTCACTGAGTACTTCAACGGCCTCATGGGACTGCCCGTGAAGATCTCCCGCTGCCCACACCTGCTGGACTTCTTCAAAGTGCGGCCTGATGACCTGAAGCTGCCCACAGACAGCCAGTGAGTTGCCACCTCCCCGAGGGGAGTAGGGGTGGGGAAGGGACACGGGGACAGAATGCACAGAGGGTGAGGAACCCCAAGTTCAGAGAGGGTGAGGGACTTCCCCACAGACAGTGCTCTAAACCTGTGTCCTGAGACCTGGCCAACACTGCATCTACACAGGCTCGTGTCACTATGGGGCATTTTGGAGGGGCCAAAAGGGACCCCTCCTCGGAGCTCATGAGAGCCCCTCACTGGCCAGGCAGTTCTCTGTAACTGGCAGAGAAGGGCTGGCTTTGCCATCTCCCCAGGGTTTGCCGTACATGGAGCTTCCTCTGTGTGCCCCCTCCTAAGTTTGACTGCATAGACAGTCATCCCCCTCACTTGTAAGACATTCTGTGTCCCCACCCCACTTCCACTCCCAGGGCTGGGCCAGTGGATACCTTCTCTTCTGTGGTGACCTTTTCTCTGGTTTCTTTTTCTATGGGGAAGTCCTCCTGCAGGTGTAACCTGAAACCTTCCCTTCCCGTCTGCTCCATATTGCCTGTTCTTTCTCCAGGGTGAAGAAGCCAGAGACATACCTGATGGCCAAAGATGGCAAGAGTAACGTAGCTGGTAAGAGGCTAGAGGTGCCCAGGGACAGGGGCACCTGGGGGTGGGGATACACAGGTACTGTGGACGTAATTAAAGATATAATTAAAGTGTGGGATTGTGGGAACAGACCACTGAGGAGGAGTAGCTTTGGGGCCATTGTTACCTTGGAGATTGGGGTTGTCCTCACCAGCCACAGTCCAAGGCAAGAGAATCAGGAGTTCAAAGTCATCCTTGGCTATACAGTGGATTTGAAGCTATCCTGGGCTACATGAAACCCTGTCTCGAAAGATAAACAGGGCCAGGTGTAGTGGTGCCTTGAGTCCCAGCACTAGGGTGGCCGAGGCAGGTAGCTCTATGTGAGTTCCAGGCCAGACCTACCCAGTGAGACCCTGTCTCAGAACGATGCGTTTGAAAGCCACAGAGGTGCTCTGGGAGTATGCTAACCTCATCTACCGAGAGCATAGTTCTTATCACCTTCCTTGTGTGTGTGGAAGGTGCTAGGTGCCCAGTACACTCAAGGCCACCATCATGAAGTGCTCAGTACACGCGAGGCCACCCTTATGAGCTTGGCTGATTTCCAGTTTGCAGTGTGTGCCAACTCCCATGAGCCTGGAGCTGGGTAGCTTGCCCATGTTTTCCTCGGTGTCCCCCCACAGGGGGCTGCCCTCCCTGCTGTGTCTGTTCACTCCACCCTCCCTCTGTGCAGACATCACAGGCCCCATCATCCTTCAGACCTACCGGGCCATCGCTGACTACGAGAAGAGTTCAAGAACGGAGATGACTGTGGTAACTGGGGACGTGGTGGACGTCGTGGAGAAAAGCGAGAGCGGTCAGCATCTCCCCCCCCCCCCGGGTTTGGGGGGGCATATGTAGCCCTTGAGTTTGTGCTGAAGCCCGAGCCACCTCTGGCCCTCATTTTAGGCCTATCCTGTGCCCAGATTGCATTAAGGGGCATTGTCCCACATGCTCATGGCAAAGAGCTCTGAGCTCATGCTCCTGGGGTGGGATTTGGGTGTGGGGTTTGGGGACATTGGTGAGTGTGAGCAGTGGGTGTCTCCTTCTCTGTGTCCTCACCACCCTCATGTCATCCATGAAGGCTGCCGGACACCACCCCTCATTTTCCTCTCTGTGCTCCCAACATAGGCTGGTGGTTTTGCCAGATGAAGACAAAGCGAGGTTGGGTCCCTGCATCCTATCTGGAGCCCCTTGACAGTCCTGACGAGGCAGAGGACCCGGATCCCAACTATGAAGGTGCTTCCTGCCCTCTGAGGCAATATGGGGTGTGAGATGAAGGACAGGAAGGGGGTGCAAGGGCATGAAGAGGCCAGTAGCTCTTACGTTATTTTCAGCTTGGAGGCCTGGGTAGATGGTGATAGTGTTGGTCAGAAGAGTAGAGGCAGAGCAGAGGGACACGGAGAAGATAGCCAGGACTGTGTGATCCATGTGGAGCCTGGTACCAGGGCGGGGGAGGGATGACAGAAAGCTGAGCTGAGAAAGGTTGGCTGGGAAGGAGGGCTCTCAGGAGGTGGCATTAACATGGACCCCCAAGGTAAAAGTTGGCACATCCAGGTCTTGAATAGTCTGCACTGTGTTTGAAAGCAGAATTTTTTTTTGGTTATGTTTTAAGACTGAGAGATTCTACTGTGTGTGGTGGGGGATCTGTCACCTCACCTTTCAGGAGGCTCAGACAGGAGGAGCTCAAGTCCAAGGCTGCTCAGGAAGGCTGCAGAGCATGTCTCAGTCTGGGCAACGTGGTGACACTCTGCTAAAAAAAATATTATGGTGTGGGTGAACATGTGTGTTCATGCATGTGTGTGTGTGTATTTGTCTGTGGTGTGTGTGCATGTGGTGTGTATGTGTCTGTGTGCATGTGTGTGCACGAGTGTGAGGTGTATATTAGTGTTACTCTGGTTTCTATTGCTATGATAGCCCCATGGAAACAGATCCATCAACGAGGTAACTCAGGGCAGGAAGCTGGAGGCAGAAACTCAAGTAGAAGTCATGGAGGAACAGTGCTCTCTGGCTTGCTCAGCCTGCTTTATACAATCCAGGACTGCCAGCCCAGAGGGATGGCTGTCTCACAATGGGCTGAGCCCTCCCACATCTTTAATCAAGAAAATGCCCCCCCCCCATAGACTTGCTTACATTCTGATGGAGGTGTATTCTGGTGAAACCTCAATAAAGGTTACACTTCCCAGATGACAGCTTGGGACAAAAACACCTAACCAGTGTGCCTACACACCACACACACACACACACACACACACACACACACACGTACATATGCTAGCACTAAGAGTGTAGCTCAGAAGTAGAGC